CTGGCATGTAACCCTCTGGGGGACTGCCATGGTTTGCCCTAGGGAACATTGCGCCCCATCTTCCTCAGGTGCTTCACCTTACCCAGACTGCCGGGGACACCCCTCAGCTGAGACTCCTGCTTCTTTACCCTTGCAGTGGACTCCCATTTTTCAAAAGTAGTCATCATTTTCCTACCAGCCCTTTGAGTCATCAGTTCCCCTTTTAAGTGTTCTAATTTCTCCAGATCAAAGAATCCCACTGAAGGAAATTGCAGCAGAGCTGAAGATCCTTCAGTCCACTTATCCCAAATGAGCAAAAATGGCTCTCCGTGCACCGTGTGTACATGTCTCATATGCTAGGCACCCTCTGTGCTTTTGGAACTTGTTTGTCCCATTATCCCTAGCCTCTCCCCTGCACCTTACCCTACACCGACCCATATGAGACATCCCCTGTGTTAGTCAGGATGTCCCACCACACGCACACCTGTGCTAACCCCTCACTGTGCAAGTTACCACATTCTGCACCAGTGGCAGCCCCATGTAGAGCAGGGTGCAGTAACTGAAGTTGGATTAAAGCACAAGTGACTGTGGGCAGCCCTCCTGGTTAAGGGACGGTTGCAACTGGCATACAAGATTTTGTATTTGTGCAAAAACCCTCCTGGAACAGCTTCCGCCTGCTCTTCTAAGGTAGGAGAACTCCCAGATTGCGGACTGCTCTGATAGATGTAGTATAACCCTGTTCCAGGTTGGATGGAATTTCCCTGGAACGGTTGGGCCGACAAACGAAGGCCACTCCACCTCGGGATCCTGTTCCTCTCCAACCAGACTATGGCAGTCCCCAGGCCAGGCACTGGGTCAGCGCTTCCACATCACTGGCTTGCCCCAGTGCCAAGATTTACAACGGGGTGACATCAGCTTACTGATGACACCACATCAACACCACGCCATGTGGCTTCGCGGAGATGCTGAAAAGGAACGGCGGGTGGGGGGGGGGGGGGGATGAGAAACCCCCGAGGCACTCGAGGAGGAGGAGAACCGCTGCAGAATAGCTGTGCCCCGCCCCCCATCCTGCCATCCCAATGCCTTGCAGACAGCCCAGAAGGATACTGTGGTATGGAAAGCCACCAAGAGTTCAGGGAGGACCAGGAGGGCTGCCCCCTACTTCCAGTCCCAGTCTCTCCAAGGATCTCCACAAACACAACCAATGTAATTTCTCTGCTGTACCTAAACCCTGATTTAAACCTTGACTCTACAGGCCCAAATAATTTACTTCCTCTAACCCTTTACAACTTTTTCCACCAAAAAAAAAGGTTGGAGACCGTTCTAAAGTTGTCCCAAGCAGATCGATGTAAGGCTTCTTGAGCAGGGGGAACAGAGGTGACAGAAACACCTCCTCACTCAATGAAGCATCGATTACTGCTTAGATCCAACCTCCTGCCATCTCATGGGAGGTCTTAACCAGCCGTGTGGAGTGGGATACACCTGAGAAGTGGCAGAATGATCCACTTCCTCAGGATTCACAGATTCAAAGTGAGCCCAGATTACTTCACAAGATAAAGCACCAGTCTTCTTTATTGGCACTGTCTAGCTATAGTCCAGCTCCTCTAGAATACGAGCAATTTGGGGTGCAATTCTGAATTAAAGATTCAGATGTCCTTTAACCCAAATGGTTTGACTCCAGACCCATAGCCGAGCCACAGAAGGCCACAATTTATGGCCACTAATGCAAATATGGAAGAATTATCTAAGATCAACACCATTTCTGTAGCTCAAGATGGCTTACTCTGGATTCCTGAAGACTCATGGAATGCAAAGTTAGTCCTTAAATTGAAAGTTGCCAAATCATCTAGCAGAGCTCAGAAGGTAGCTCCGCAGGGGCAGACTTCACCCAGGACATAACATCATTTGGGCATGTCACAGGCAGGTTAAATTCTGGAGATACAACAACCCAAAGGCGAGTTGACCAGGATTAAGAGCAAAGTGTAAGACATGGAATAAAGGTCAGAGATCAGGTTCTGCTTGAACGTCCTAAGAACAGCGCAGCAATGGAACCCGTGTCCAGAGGAGCTGGTGGAGGTGGTGGTGGGCCCTTTGGTGAGATACATTCAAGTGGAAGCTTAGCGGCCAAGTCTTGTGGATGCTTTCAGCTGAATTCCTTGCTGAGCAGGGAGTTTTATTCCACAGTCTCAAGAGCCCCTTCTAATTGTAGGAATCAAAGATTCTAAGCTTTAATAAGGATATGCTAATTAATAAGCAAAATTGGAAAGTATATAAACACATACCCATACTTAGATTTAAGATCAGACAACTTAAGCTGTCATTGAAAATGTTTATTGCATCAAATTTCAAATAGGACATAAATTCCAATTAATTTGGGGAAATTTTCTTGAATAATCTTAAAGTCACAGAATAATGTGAGCTTCCACAAAACTGTAATACAGAACTTTTCTGCATTTTATTTTTTGTTTTTAATTTGTTCACTTATTTTTTTCTTAAATTTTAATTAATATTGATAACATTACTTCCCTTCAAGGCATGAAGGCTGCATTTCTACCACACACAAATCAGGCTAAAGTTGGGTTTGGTGGATTACGATTTGGTTGGTGGGGGAACCAGTCCATCATGCAATCCACTTCTTTGGAGAGAAGTTGATTTCAAAGATACGGTGCTGTTGGCCAGGAAAGTATCAAGGGCCCAACCCAAAATGTGAGGGCAAATGATAGCTACTGGTCAGGGGGCATGCTCACGTGCCCACACATCCAAAAGACACACCTGATCACACCTGTAGTGGTTCACCTGCCTGGCCTCCAAGATGACTGTGATTGTGTTTGGAGCTGTGGGAAGAGCGTGTGAGATTAACGCTCATCGTCTGTGGCTCTTCTGGCCCAGGGCCTCAGGATATTCAGGGTTATGCTTGGGACAAAGCCAGTGCCAAGGCACCCCAGCGGGGACCTCTCTCCACATATTGCAAGAGCACCAGTCCCAGCCAGGCCCGCCTTCCTTCTCCCTGCGGTGCTCCCGCTACACGGACATCTCATGCCTTCAGCTCCCTCTCACCCAGAGCTGCCTGGCAGCTGAGAAAATGGGTCCAGCTGGGGTTCCTTCTCCTCTCTCGCTCCTCTGTATGTGACCACCAAAGAGCTAGAACCCGATGATTGCAGAGGGTGGGCAAATCCCTTGCAGCGACCCGGAATGAGAGAGAGGCGACAGGCTGAGCTGGGCCATCGGTCTCAGCTGTGGGGCTGGAAGGGCTGCCCCAGCTTCCTTCCTCATGACTCTGTTTCTAAAAGGCTCTGGCGCTCCTCATCGCAGTGGAGTCTGGAGGGAGGCTCTGGGACAGCCAATCAACAGCCCGGAAGATTTAGTTAAGTGGCAGCTCCACCAGTGCTGGAGAAGCCATTCAGACCGTGCCCAGGTGACCCTGCCCAGCACTCCCTGTTTCGACGCGTGCCTTGGGATTTGTCAAGCTGTTCAGCCGGATCTAGAGGTGGCTTCACTTCTGACCCATGGATTAGCCACTGAGAAAAGTGGCTGTGCTGGGAAAACCTGGGTGTAAGGCTTGGCTCTGCCACCCAACTGGGAGTGGCATGACTGAGCTGGGACGCTAGAGGACTATTACTGTGCCTGTGATTCTGCCGTGGGCGGACGCTGAGCCCCACTGCTGCCCTGGCAAAGCCCTTCCTTTGGGCTGAGGCAGCCCCCCTCCATCACCTGCTGCACTTCAAGGCGGGTGCACTGGACTCCCAGCCTTGCACATGGGAAGGAAGGTATGAGGGGCATGAAAGGCCGGGGCCTGGCCCCACGCCTGGCTTCAGGCAGCCTTCTTGCCTGCCCCTTTCCACCTGACAGTGCACCAAGACCAAGGCCTGTCGCCCCTTGTACCTAGCCGTGGTGCGTCACTGCTCTGCCTTGCCCCTGACAGGGCGTCAGGCATAAGTCCCCTTCTCTGTTCCGGGACTAAATACGTGGCTCTCCAGCCACCTCTGAGTCAGCCAAAGGCCACGGCAGTGTGGCCCCCATGGCCAGCCCCTACTGCTTGCCTCTCTCCGGGGAACCTTTTCCCCCTTGCCTCCTGCCTTGGGTGTCCCTTCATCTCGTTCCCAAATCCCAGCCTGTGAGTCAGGTCCTTCATGGGCTGTGGGAACCCAGGCTCTTGGCTACTTGATGTGCATGGCAAATACAGGAAAGGAATCTATTCAGAAACCAGGTTGTAAGTGTTGTGTGGGCACAATATCAAAGGCTGCCTAGGGGAGGGAGATCCCTCCAAGAAAGGATGCCCTACACGCAAGCACGCACCCACGCACGCGCACACACGCGAGTTCCCCAAATCCAAAGCTCTGGCGCAGCCCTGGCACGGCTGGATAGCTAGGGGTTCCGGGGAGGGGGAGCTGCGGTCCAGGCTAGGCGTTGGCTGGGGGCTTCACCTAAGCCGCGCGGGTGCCTGCCACGCATGCCCTGCCTCCCGGTTCCCGGTTCCGGTGCTTTTGCGCCGAGATGCAGAAGCGGGGAGACCGTAGTTCGGTCGCGCGGTGTCGCGGGCTGCAGAGAAATCCGGCTCCGCGGGGCTTAGGTGCCTCCAGGCCGCTCTGACTGCGGGGAGGGGGTGCGGGAATGCCGAAGCGCTTACAGCCAAGCGGGGAGAGACGCGCTGCCCGCTGGCCGTCTGCCTTTCTCTCTCCGCCCGCAGGCCGGTCCGAGTTTGCCAGCTTGTCCCTAAAAGGTGCTGCTTGGTCGGCGGGGGAGGGA